TCGGACATGAAAGGATTCAGCCTTAATTGAACAACACGCTTGCCCCTTCCCATCCCATATCACATAACTCACACCTGACCCAAAGCTGCTTGGCCCCAGTGAACCCATTGCTGACTGAGCCAAGTAGGGGGGGGGGCAGGACGGCCATGGAAAATGCCACATGTCAGAGTAGCCGAGCTGCGAGACTGCTTGGGGAAATCAGTGGAGGTGGAGACGAGGCCTCACGACAGACCACCTTACTGTTGATGCTCGTCGCTGTTTTAACTGGTGGACTGTTGCTGGTCATATCTCTCCAGTGCAAAACGCTTCGCACCATTGATGCACGCGTTGCAACGATTGAGGAGACGTGGAAGCAACTTCAGATGCCAGTTTTGATTGAGCAGCCTCACATATTCCCCGAGAGGCTCGTGGAAGAGGTGACAAAAACAGGCACACGACTGTGGAGCCAGGCCAGAGAGACTCAGGCGTGCCTTCTCCGAGTACAGCATAGCATTGAAATGCGTATGCTACAAACGGACCGCATTCTGGACAGACTCATAAAAGCAGTGAGAGAATTAGAACCTGTCACGGAAGCCTTGCACGACACAGTCAACAATATCTTCGACGTCTTGGACGACGTCCTGACACGAGAAGAGCACCTTTTCGCCACCCACGCGGGACAGATGATGGCAGCCCTGGAACGACTAAGAGTACAAGTCATGGATGGCAACGACGCGAANNTGAATGCATGTTTCCAGGACATGAAGAGATCGGTCACCTCCATCTTCACGCAGAACCACCAGCTCCTCGACTTGATGGATACAAGGATTCTGCCTGCCCTCGATCGGGTGCAGAACGCAGTGCCGCTCCATACTCAACACATAGAGCAAGCCCTGCAAATGCTGAGTGACCTGAGAACGGGAACTGTGCCAGCAGATGACACGGCCGGGCAGAATCCACAAGGAGATCACATGGACTCCCAGCCGACCATTCCGACGAATCCTGAAACTGAGACACAAGAGCACTGGCTCACATTGGATGATGGCAGCCACATCAGAGTTACCGCCAATTAATGCAAGCCCTGGACCTCGTGTCCTGTGCAATTTATACAGCTGCAACACAATTCATAATTCGTAATTTGTAATTACAGGCAAGTACACATGTGTAATTGGGGTCTTCCTGCTCACGCCGCCGCCCTCTTCCTGCGCAAAACTATGATCAGCGAGTGCAGCATAGCCTAAATGTTGAGTTGCAGTCTAGCTCGTTTGGGCTGACTTGTTCCTTTGTCTACCTCCCCGAGCCCTTGCCCCTCCCCCTGGCCTTCTAGTTTTTTTCCGTATCCGGTAGTTCCCTTGTTCTTAGCTTATGGAAGCCCCCCACGTTGAATTGTTTCTTTATTTCATAGATACTTAGGTATTGATGTAACAGCCCAGTCTTTCTTTGCTTATCAACACAGTATTGGAACTTGAATGCATTGCAGTGGTCTTTCGCCGGCCTTGCAAAGTTTACCTCCATGAGATAGTTCACTTCAAGCGACTTCAGCAGTCCAGCGAAACGCTCTCCGAAGTGATAAGACGTTTGCGGTCCGTAGAATACCCCCCCCCAGCAAGAAGTACTCCGAAGCTTCACGACTCTAGGTAAGCCCACCGGACCTCTGACCTCCCCTCGTATGCCACAGGAGCTCATATGCAGGAAGACCACACCGCGAACCAGGCGGCTCAAACTCAATACAGGACCTGCCGCCCTCCGTGTCCGTAGCCTCCATGGCCCGTATCGAAGACCTACATTTCATCTATGTCACTTTGACGGAGCTGGACCCCATGAGTAAGGTCTATATCATTTTGACGGAGTTAGACCCCTTGAGCAAAGTCCTCCTGTTCATAGTGATCGGAACCTTTACTGTCGGCCTCCTCGTACTCAACAAACTCTGCAAGTACGTGGACAAAAAGTTGCATGCGATCTTGACAGCAATCGATGAGTTTGGAGCCATGATGACTCACGAAGCTGAAGAGACGAGGACACAAAACGCAGGACTGGCAACCCAGCGACAACTGCCCGATGTCATGACAGCTCAGGCCTTCAAGTCATCTTTGACAGCCATGCAGTCAGCGATCGAGCAAGACAACAAGACGCAGGCCAATAGCATGGTGGAGAGCTTGATGAACTCATTGCCGGCCTTTGTGGGAAAGATGCTGAACTCAGAAACGAACAAGAATTTAGTGCATGGTAATTTGGTGCAAGGAGTTCAGCATGCACTACAAGGACCGCATGACGAGCACACCATGCTGTACCAGCTGCGCAAGTTGTACCTGGCCTTGCAACCCACCAAACTACTTAGCCAACAAGCGCAGACTACCCAAAGCTCCCTTGATGAGCTGCAGGGGAGTCTACAACAGTGGATGCAAGGCGAGATCATCGTGAAGCTCGACGCCATCATCGACATCCTCTCCAAGATCCAGGTAGAGCTCACCACCCTCAGCGACAGCGCCGGACCTGACTTCACGCAAAAAGTTGTGTCATTGCTCGAACAACTACATGAGAGGCATGAACAAGCCAAAGACCAACGCATGGAATTGGGCGGGCAGCAACATGCACTCATGAACCACGTGAAGCAGGCTTGCAGCATGGGGAGTAACACCCTCAGCCAACTACAAGGAGTGTCCAACACCCAGTGGACACACGGCGATATGATCCACTCTCTGGAAGAAGCAGTACGGGAGAACGCAGAGAAGCTGAAGCGCCAGACTGAAGTGAACGCGAAACTCCAAACGCAGATGGAAAAGATCCTGACGAAGCTTTCGCCGAGCATGCCAGCGAAGGCACCGCCCTCTGCTCCGCCTTCAAGCTCGACGACTCCAGCTACGACGGGACCGGATGCCAACGCTCCATCGACAGCAGGGACTACACCACAGAACCAACCACCGCCCCCTGCACCCCCAGTGAGCGTGCCGCAGACCCTAGGACCAGGAGCTGAGTCACCGGTCATACGTATCAGTGAACAAATGGGACAACGCCAACCGCTACAGCTGTTTGAGAGCCTGACCATCCCACAAGCACAGCGGTGGCCGGTCAGTTTTCCCACAGGAGACCCACGGGCGCAACAAGCCCTGGCGTATCTCCTCGGTCTAGGCGGTATGTACACGCCGCAATGAGTACTGTGGGCACGTGGTTCTGGGTTTCGCCCCTTCCATCCTGTTGGTTTGGTGCTTTTTCTGTGTGTTTCCACACGGCGCCCACCCTAAACCCACTTAATTTATAATTCATTTAATTCGTAATTTACCGACAGCCGACAGAGTGCATGATGCAAAAAGAGCATGAGGGAAGCTGCAGCAGCGAACAACAACAGCTGACCTGATACGCCCCGACCCCAGTGAGTGATGACCCCTGAGCCCGCTCTGAACCTCGCATGTCGCTAACGATGGCTCATAGCCTGGAAGTTGGTCGCCCACCATGTCCTGCTTCACTCCTGAACTTGCCGAAACCCCCTGTACTTCGCGAGATGAACATGACCAGGGAGCAGAGGCCCTAGCTCATAAACTTCTTCGCCAGATTGACGGGCTTTGCTTAGACGACAGATGTATGGCAGTGGGACACCTGACTTCCTACATTCCAGCTAAATTTTGGGATACTGATGAAGGGGGGAATAAGTTTGTAATTGCAGGTCAATGTCCTAGAGCACTGAACACCCTGACCCGAGCTTCCATTGCCTTGCCTACTGTATCCCATGTTCTAGCCACTTTTGCCGCACTAAGCATGCCCGAACCAATCCCCTTCACAATGCTCTCCATCCGCTCAGGACCTGGTAAACCGGCGCACAAAGACGCAAGAAACTCCCAAGCCCCAAGCCTAATCGTAGGCCTTACTAAGTGTGACCGAGGCAGACTCTGGGTGGAGCACCCGAATGGTGATGTCATGGGGCAATTGGGAATCCGGGGTTTCTTCCAGGACATTTACAGGAAACCCATTCTGGTTTCAACTAAGAAATTGTTGCATGCGACAGAAAGATGGCAACTAGGCGAGAGAAAAATCCTCACAGCATGGTGCCCGCAGGTAGCAGTGCAAAACGAACCGGACTTTAACACACAGCTTCAGTTACACGGCTTCGAGCCCCCTGAAACAACCTCAAGCCTTGATGGGTTCCAGCACACTACCTACTATGGACACCAAATAGTCAGACAGCTAGACATTCCCACTAGCCTCGCCCAGTCAGGAGCTAATCGAGACCAGGTGGAAGTCCACTCATCCCAGGAAGAGCCCACAAGAACGTCGAGGTCCAGATCGCCCCCGCGGGTTCACTGAGGACGGACAACACAGAGCCGCAGGCGGCATGCGAGTGTAAGACTCGCAAGCCGACAGGACCACATAATTAATATCATGCAGCCTCAAATCCTTAATTCGTTGCTACACCCGCTTAACACCCGACCCCCCTCAAAAAAAAAAAAAACATCTTCGCGACTTATCAACTCACTACCAATAGTCCGTAGCCTTACACCTTGACCCAAACTCCAATCCCGTCAGCCCCACATCCGCCTAGGAGAATCAATTCCTTCAGGAAGCCCGAGCACTACTGCATGGACTAAGGAAAGGCAAGTCCCAGACGGACGCAGCTTCGAGGACCCCCTAATTCACCTGCAACC